ATGGCATGGCATTCATCATCACAAAGAATATATCACAATCTATCCCAAAGGACAATGATGTCATTTACAGGATAATATCCACATGCCTAGGAGGAAGACCAGTTAATAATACCTTTTTTTTTTTTTTTTTTGCACAAACCATCACAGCCAAGATGAAGAAATTGAAGCCTTTTACCAACTTCTTTTTTTTTTAAACTGTAATCTGGGTGAAGATTTACAGAGCAAATTCACTTTCCATACAGCAATTCACATATACTTTGTCTCATGTCATTGACCACAGTTTACCACAATGCAAGTGCTCCCCTCCCACTTCCTCCCCATAGTTACCTCCTCCCAGTGTCCATCCCTCCATACAGTCCTGCCCCCTGAGCTGTCTCCCTGTGCATAAGCAGCCCTTCTTTCTCCCATGATTGTTCTCTCCAAGGTGTGTATCTACTTGAGGTAAATATTAACTCATATGCCTCTATTTTGTTTGGCTGAAAACCACAGGTGTGGGTTCAACTACAGACCTGAAGGGCAGCTAGGGGCCATAGTCTTAGTGGATCCACCAGGCTCTATTGGATCAGCAAACCTGGTCCCGCTTTTTTTTTTTTTCCTCCAAATGATTTTGAGTTGTTCTACATTGTTCTCCCTCTCAATCCAGGATCTCCTACATAGATCCTTCCAAGTGGATGACAATGGTAGTCAGACACCATCTAGTTTAGTCTCATATATGTATAGGCTGCAGATTGGATGGTGTACCAGTCTCTAGGACTAATTGTTTCCTTGAATTTTGGTTTTCTTCATTCTTCTTTGCTCTAGACATGGAGAGACCCATCATTGCATCTAGATGGCAGCTTGCTAGCTTCTAAGATCCTAGTCACTACTTGCCAAAGTAACAGGCGGAACAATGTTTTGTATAGTATGTTATGTCAATTGAGCTTGATGTCCCCTGCAACTATGGTCCCAAGCCCACAGGTTCAACTACTCGGTCCCTCTGGGTAGTTGCCTGTGACCAAGCAGTGACCACAACCTTGCCCCTTGTCAGCTCTACTATACACCTGGGAATTCTAATCATTCACATAAACTTATAGGACCACTGTCTGCCAACCCTATATATGTTCTTGGATACACTCCCCATTTCATAGACATACCTAATCGTTTAGCCTGTCCACCCATCTATCCATCCATATACCCATGTTTGCCTTCACTGACAACGCAGTACTGTATGTCCAGGCCTTGTTTTGACTGAAGATACTGAGCTGCTCTGTCTCTTCTTGCTACAGATGTAGTCAATCTGATTCCTGTGTACTCCATATGGCAAAGTCCATGTGTATAGCCACCGTTTGTGTTGATGACAAAAGGTTTTTGAGAGGAATAAGTCATTGGTCTTGCAAAATTCTATCATGCGTACTCTAGCATTTTATCTGTCACCCAGTCCAAATTTTCTAACTGCCAGTGATTCTTCTTTGTTTCCAACTTTTGCACTCCAATCACCAGTGATAAGCAATACATCTTGATTGCATGTTCTATTTCAGACTGCAAAAGTTGATAAAAACTTCAATTTCCTCATGAATATACATATGTAAATTATTGAACCCCTTCCATCTGAAGGAATACTATAAAACCATTATCCCTTCCACTTCCATTTGATGAGATTGACCCATTTGTTCCTGCTGGGGCACTGCCTGTGGTAGATGGTATGGGAAACACTGCTGAATATTCTCAGGAACGGGCCAAAACACACATAGTTGCTGCTAGACCTATAACTAAACTTAAGTCCAAGCGAGCCCCAAAGGTGAAATACAAAGTGTGACTGAAGAAGTGTTACACTACACCCGAAAAGACCTACTTGATTGTGCTGACATGTACAGACAGAAACCTGGAGAATATGTGTGGCAATGGCTCCTGAGGGTGTGAGATAATAGTACAAGGAATGGAACATTGCACTGGTCTGAGTTTATTGATTTAGGGCCACTAAGTGCAAATCCTTCATTCAATGGAGATTAGGAAAGGATCTAACTATCTGGTTGGCATACGGAAGCACAGATCATGTGGTGGCCTACCGTAAACCAAGTGGAAGTGCCAGACCTGCCTTGGTATAATGTAATAGAAGATATCCAACGGCATAGGAAAATTGGCATGTTAGAATGAATTCATCAGAATAGACCCCTAGACCTAGAAACGGTGAGCCCAGGGGACACACCTTTTACCATTATAGTGTGGAACAAATTTGTGAAGGGACCCCAGCATCCTTGAAGACTGCTGTGATTGCTATTTTCTGTAAGCTGGAACTAACAGTGGGAAGTGCCCTAACTGAACTAAGACACTTAACTACAATGGGGCTGACTGGACACTGTGGGAGTAGAGGCCATGTGCCAGCAGTTAACTGACAAAGACAAGGTGGGCATGGTTACCATAATGGACTGCAGAGTCAAAACTGGAATCAGAATAGCCTGACTTGTGTGGAATTATGGTGCTGGCTACTTAGGCAGGGTGTTCCTGGGGAGGGGTGTGAAATACACATGAACCCTATTAAATATTTACTTGATCCTCAGATGGAAGGATGGACAGTCTACTTATGTAGTGATACTGCCTCAGAAACACAAGAAGGGGTTGCTATGATTTGGGTCCAACTCAATGGCACATAACAACAACAAAAACAATGTACATACAGAAGAATTCTATGTAACATGAACAACATTCTAGACTGAATCACCAGAATACACAGTCACAGCCTCACAATCAGTTTTCAGACAGGATTCAGTTCACAGACCCACAACACCTTGAATGAAGGGGGGCTGGGTCCTCTTGAGGAAATACTCCACTACTTTGCTAAATTTTTATACTGTCAATCGGTCTCCCAGCCTTCCCCAAAGGGATCTGAGGCCTTTTACAAGAGTAACTGTCATTGTGGAAAAGGAAAGAATCAGAGTTTTCAGGGATTACTGGATATTGGCTCTGAACTAACATTAATTTCAGTAGACCCAAAGTGTCACTGTGGTCCACCAGTCAGAGTGGGAGCATAAAGAGGGCAAGTTATTGATGGACTCTTAGCTCAGGTGCATCTTATAGTGGCTCCAGTGGGCCTCTTGAGCCCATCCTGTAGTGATCTTCCCAGTTTCTGAATGCATAATTGAAATAGATATACTCAGCAATATGCAGAATTCCAAGAGTAGGTCCCTGACATGTGGAGTAAGAGCTATTGTGGTATGAAGAGCTCAGTTGAAGCCATTAGAACTGCCTCTACCTAGAAAAACAGTAAACCCAAAGCAGTACCACATCCCTGGAGGGATTGCAGAGATTACTGCCCCTATCAAGGACTTGAAGGATGCAGGGGTGGTGATTCCCACCACATCCCCATTTTATTCACATATTTGGCCTGTGTAAAAACACAGACGTATCTCAGCGACTAACAGTGGATTATCATAAGCTTAATCAGGTGGTGACTGCAATTGCAGCTACTGTTCCTGATGTGGATTCACTGCTTGAGCAAATTAATAATCTCCCAGTAGTTGCTATGCAGCTATTCATCTGACCAATGCCTTTTTCTCAATACCAATTTCAAAGGACCATCAGAAGCAGTTTGCCTTCAGTGGGCAAAGCCAATAATATACTTTCATGGTGCTTCCTCAGGGTTATATCATATTAAAGTCTCAAAGGCAGACTAAGAAATGGAACTCATTTGCTGGCTCAACTGCTATAAAAAATTTAATGAATGAATACAGGGGAGATAAGAGAAACGATTTCTTGTGGAATTCCAATGAATAAGCATAGAAGAAACAGTATAGAAAAATACCATTTAATAAACACCATAATAATAATAACCACAGGTAGTATTCATCAATGAATGGAAAACTTAGGAAGGAAAAGTATGAAGAAAAGGAGAATATTTGCAGTCTCAACGGATCACCCTCTGAGAAATTAATCACAAAGTGCAAGGGTTGTTACTTATACAAGAGGAAAGAAGGGAAGGGAATGTGTTAAATTTTAAAATAAAACAATAGTTTTAAATGAAATACATGATCAGTGTATTGAACTGTACGCAAAATGACATCAATAAAAACGTGATTATAAAAGCACACTCGCTTAAGACTATTTGCTGCACCCTTACCTGTAATAGCCAAAGACATCTGAGAATGATGAAATTTAGCTTTGAGTAAGAAAATTACAACTATACAAGAATGTTGTATTGTAGTAAAATGCACATTTCCCCAAAGGCACAAGCCAATTTTAATGACTTTTTCATTGAGTTCATATTACTTATTTTCTGACAAACTTTGCTCTTTGAGGACAGAATTTCAGACCTTTCCTGTTTGAAATGGGAATGGTAAGGAGAAATCATCCCACCTTTGAGAAAGAGCAGCCACTCCAATGTGTGCTTTTGAATGGGGACTTAGAGGTGAGGAACAACTCCAGGTTTTCCCTCATTCTTGTTTTTCTAAGGCCTCGCTCCACTGTGAATTCTGCTATATTCAGTGAGTGATGGCGATTTTCTAAAGCTTCCCACCATCCTAACACTCTTAAGGTCACAGCCCATTGAGAGTTTTATGTTAAGTGCAGTATGATGAATGCAAAAAGATTTCTCTCCATGTAAAAGATAACAAACGTCATGTTTGAGGCCTGGCAGGTTTTCCCACACTGATTACATTCAGAAGGCTTTCTCCTGTGTTTTTATGTGTTCCGAGGCAACAGGCACAACCATAGGTTTTCCCACATTCCTTACATTCATAAGTCTTCTCTCTCTTGTGAGTGATTCTGTTTGGAGAGGGTTATAGAATGACTAAAGGTTTTCATACCTTACATTTATAAAGCCTCTGCCATTGTGAGTTTTTATATGTTCAGAAAGGCAGGATGAATGAGCGAAGTCTGTTTCACACTTCATGCATAAGGTCTCCCTCTTGTGTGACTTCTTGTACGTCGAGTTGTGTGTGAAGAATCCTCAAAGTCTTTCCCACATAACTTACATACAAAGGACTCTTTACACTGTGAGATACCATATGTGAGGTGAGCTTCGATACCTGTGTAAAGCCTTTCCCACATTCCTTACATTCATATGGCCTCTCTCCACTGTGAATTCTTTTATGTCTATAGAGGGCTGAGGACAGACTAAATTCTTTCCCACATTCCTTACATTTATAGGGCCTCTCTCCATTGTGAATTCTTTTATGCGCAGAGAGGTTTGATAGCTGACTAAATGCTTTCGCACATTCATTACATTCATAGGGCCTCTTTACACTGTGATTTTTTTTTCATGTCTAGAGAGGTTTGAAAGGGAACTAAAGGCTTTCTCACATTCATTACATTCATATGGCTTCTCTCCACTGTGCATTCTTTTATGTGTGGAGAGGTTTGAAAGGCAACGAGATGCTTTCCCACATTCCTTACATTCATAGGGCCTCTCTCCACTGTGATTTCTTTCATGTTTACAGAGGTTTGAAAGGTTACCTAATGCTTTCCCACATTCTTTACATTCATATGGCTTCTCTCCAGTGTGAATTCTTTTATGTATAAGCAGGGTTGTTGTTGTTGTTGTTGTTATGTGCCGTCAAGTCATCCCCGACTCATAGCGACCCCTCCTTGGGTTTCCGAGGCAGTATCACTACGGAAGTAGGATTGCCCAACCTTCCTTCCGAGGGTTGAGGACTGCTTAAATGCTTTCCCACATTCCTTACATTCATATGGCTTCTCTCCACTGTGACTTCTTTTATGTATAATGAGGGTTGAGAGCTGACTAAAAGCTTTCTCACATTCCTTACATTCATAGGTCCTCTCTCCAGTGTGAATTTTTTGTATGTATGGTGAGGTGTGAAAGCTCATAAAATGCTTTCCCACATTCCTTACATTCATAAGGCCTCTCTCCCGTGTGAATTCTTTTATGTCTGTATAGTTGTGAGGTACATTTAAACGCTTTCCCACATTCCTTACATTCATAGTGCCTCTCTCCCGTGTGAATTCTTTTATGTCTGGAGAGGTGTGAAGGCTGTTTAAATGCTTTCCCACATTCCTTACATTCATAGGGCCTCTCTCCCGAGTGAATTCTTGTATGTGTGGAGAGGCATGAGGGTTGAATAAATGCTTTTCCACATTCCTTACATTCATAGGGCCTCTCTCCACTGTGAATTCTTCTATGTATGGAGAGGTTGGCGAGCTTACGAAATGCTTTCCCACATTCTCTACACTCGTATGGCCTCTCTCCACTGGAAATTCTTTCATGTCTAGAGACGTCTGCAAGCTGACTAAATGCTTTCCCATATTCCTTACATTCATAGGGACTCTCTTCACTGTGAATTCTTTCACGTCTAGAGAGGTCTGAAAGCTGACTAAATACTTTCCCACATTCCTTACATTCAAAACCCTTATCGGTCTTGTGAAATTTTGGATGACACATCAGGGACGATGGATGAGTATTGATTTTACAACACGCTTCACATTCATGTTTAAGACCTCTCACATGTGGACAAAAGGATGGGAAACTACAGAAACACTTCCCACATTTCGCATGTTCATAGTGTTTCTCACTACTGGATACTGTCAAAGGAACCTTAGGGGTTGACATGCAAAAGTCCTTCTTACATATATTAAGCTTCTGGGTCTTCTTTCCCTTAAGAGTTTTCACAGAAGTGGTTCGGTGGGAGGGACAACTGCAGGCTGCCCCATGGTCCACACAGTGATACCTATCACCCGTGGAGGGCAATCTGGTGTGACACTCAGTTGATGACCCCTCCGTGAAGGCCGTTCCTCACATACAGGATTGAAAAGGATTGACCTCCACAGGGTCCCTCTGTACCACAGCAAGATCTGGAACACGGCTGAAGGTTTTCCCACACTGACTGTCTTCACGATTTTCATAGAGGATCTTCACTTTACGACTCCTGTTAAACATAGGAAAATTGCTGTAGGAAAAAAAGTTGTCTTCATTTCATCATCATCAAAAATAGTGAATGTGCGTGGTTTTTGTCCTGATTTATTTCATATTTCATTGGTCAATTTATCTAGTAGAAATATTACTATTAAAGCTACTATTCTTCTAAAATACTAGGCTTTCTGTTAATTGGGTCAAAGTGAAGAATGGGTAAAATATTCGATATCTTACATTTACGAAAATGTTGCATTGTAAAAAATTTCTGAACACTTACTATTCAGCTAGATTTATACATGTAACCAAATATATGTATAAATAGGCGTTTGTGTATGTGTGTATGTACATATAGATAAGTATCTATATTGAAGGAAGAAGTCAAGGCTGCACTGAAGGAACTGGTGAAAATCAAGGCTTCAGGAATTGAAGGAATACTCACTGAGATGTTTCGATAAACACTCACGAGAACAGTAAGGCAGTTAGGGGCCATAGTCTCACAAGATTTCAAAGACAGCTATTTGGCTCCCTGACTTGAAGAGATCCATTTTGTACCCATTCCAAAGAAAGGTGATTCAACACAATGTGGAGATTATCTAACAGAATCATTAATGTCACATGCAAGTAAAATGTTGCTGAAGATAATTCAGAAATGGTTGCAGCAGCATATTGACAGGGACCTTCCACAAAGAGAAGCAGCACTCAGAAGAGGACATGGAATGAGGATCGGTCCTGGTATCAGATGGATCTTGGCTAAGAGGAAAGGATACCAGAAAGATGTTTCCTTGTGTTTTATTAACTATGAAAAGGCATTCAACTGTGTGGATCATAACTAATTATGGATAACATTAAGAAGAATGGCAATTCCAGAACACTTGATTGTATTCATGAGGAACCTGTATACACACCAAGAAGCTGTCTTTCGAACAGAACAAGGGGACACTGCAAGGTTTTAAATCAGGAAGACAGTGTGTCAGGGTTATATCGTTTTGTCATATTTATTCAATTTGTATGGAAAGCAAAAAATCTGAGAATGTGGACTATATGAAGAAAAACGTGGCTTCAGGATTGGAGGAAGACTCATTAACAAACTACCATATGCAGATGACACAACTTTGCTTGCTGAAAGTGAGCATGACTTGAAGCACTTACTGATGAAGATTTAAGACTTCAGTCTGCAGTATGGATTACACCTCAACATGAAGAAAATCCTGACAACTGGACTAATAAGCAGCATCATGATACACAGATAAAACATTGAAACTGTCAAAGATTCATGTTACTTGGGCCCACAAGTAACACCCAAGGAAGCAGCAGTCAAGAAATCAGATCATGTACCGCCCTGGGAAATCTGCTACACAAGACTGCTTTAAAGTGCTGAAGAGCAAAGACGTCTCTTGAAGACTAAGGTGCACCTAACCAAGCCAGAGTATTTTGAAGTGCATCATATGCATGTGAAAGCTAGACAGGGACTAAGGAAGACCAAAAAAAAGTTGATGCTTTTGAGCTGTGGCACTGACGAAGAAGACTCCAAGTACTACAGACTGCCAGAAGAGCAAACAAAGGTGTCTGGTCATGCTCCATCCTCACAATCCTTGCTATTCTTGAGCCCATCATTGTCGCCAATGTGCCAATCCATCTTCTTGAGGGTGTTCCCCTCTTTTGCTGACCCTCCAGTGTACCAACCATGATATATTTCACCAGGAAATGGTCCCTTCTGGAAACATGATGTAAGTAGGTAAGATGACATCTGGGAATTCTTGATTCCAAGGAGCATGGTATACACACTTCTTCCAGGATATATTGGTTCATTTTTCTGGGAGTTCATGATACTTTCAGCATTGTCCACCAACAATGTAATTCAAAAGCATCAACTCTTCTATGGTTTTCCTTATTCATTGCCCAGCTTTCATATGTATAGAAGGCAATTGTAAACACCACGGCTTGGGTTAGGTGTACCTTAGTCTTCAAAGTGGCATCTTTTGTGCTTCCACACTTAAAGAGCTCTTTTACAGCACGTTTACCCAGTGCAGTACAACATGTGATTTCTTTACTGCTGCTCCATGGGGTGGACTGTGGAACCAATATGGAATATTTGACAGCTTCAATGATTTTTCCATTTATCAGAATGCTACTTATTGCTCCAGCTTTGAGGATCTTTGTTTTCTTTATGTTGAGGTGTAATCCATACTGCAGACTGTAGGCCTTCATCTTCCTCAGTAAGTACTTCAAGTCGTCTTCACTTTCTGCAAGTCAGCTTGGGTGTAATGAGTCTACCTTTAATCCTCATGCCATATTTTACTTCATACAGTGCAGCTTTCTGGAAGATGTGCTCAAAATACAGATTGAATGAGTATGTTCAAAGGATACAAGACTGGTGCATACCCTTCCTGATTTCAAACCATGCAGTATCCCAATGTTAAGATCAAAATACAGCCTCCTGGTCTGTGTACAGGTTCCTTATGAACAGATATAAGTGTTCTGGAGTTCCCATTCTTCTCAACATTACCCATAATTTTTTAGGGTCCACACAAATACTTTGTTGTTGTTGTTTGCCATCGAGTCGGCCCCGACTCATAGCGACCCCTCCTTGGGTTTCTGAGGCAGTATCACTACGGAAGCAGGACTGCCCAACCTCCCTTCCGAGGAGTGGCTGGTGGGTTTGAACCACCAGCCTTCTGGTGAGCAGTCAAGTGCCTTAGGCACTATGCTACCAGAGCTCCTCACAAATACTTTAGCATAGCAAATTAAGAAAAAAAGTAAAACTCTTCCTGATATTCTTTGCTTTCAACCAAGATTCATCTGATATCAGCAATGATATTCCTCATTCCACATCACCTTCTGAATCCAGCTTGCATTTCTGGACATTCCCCATCAATATACTGCTATTAACTGTTTTTGAGTTACGTATAGGCAAATTTTACTTGAGTGGATAAGAATGATACTGACTGATAATTTCCACATTATCTTGGATCACCTCTCTGTGGAATGGATACAAATATGAATCTCTTTGAGTCTGTTGGCCTGGTAGCTTTCTTCCAAACTACTTGCCATATATGAATAAATATCTCCAGAATGGAATCTGCCTGTTGAAACATTCCAATGGCAACCCACCAATTCCTGTAGCCTTGTTTTTTGCCAAATACTTGAATTCAGCTTTGACTTCGTCTATGAATACCAATGCTTCTTGATCATATGCCACCTCTTATATATGATGGTTCAACACTGAACAAATCTTTTTCTTACAATCACTCTGTATATTCCTTCCGTATTCAGTTTACCTACATTCATACTTTGTACATCTCATGTTCTGGTTATTACTGGATGTTTCCAAATGTTTCTACCCATTCTGAGTCATGCTGCATCAGCAAATGAAGGCTCTGAGAGCTTTAGTCCATCCATGTCATTAAGGTCGACTGTACTTTAAGGAAGTAGCTCTTCTCCAGTCTTATCTTGAAGGTCTTCTGACCTCTCATCTTCAGGTTCTATATCAAACAATGGTTCAGGTCTATTCATAAAGTTACCCAGTTGTGTATCAGACAGTGTTTCTTTGCTATTCATAAGGCCAATTCTTTGAAAAGTGGATGGCCCCTTATTTCTTCCTAGTCTGTCTTAGACACTCCACTGAAACCTGTTCACCATGGGTGACCAAGCTGGTATCTGAAATACCAGTGGCACTACCTCCAACCTCACAGCAACAAGTAAACCATCACAGTAGGATGAACTGACATAGAAATAATGGGAGTGCTTCCTACTGGAGTCAAAATCTCACTGGAAACAGATTTGGTTCCCAGGCAACACATACACTGCCCTCCTTTAGGTTTGCAATTACTGAACTGCTACAAAGTGTTTCAAAGTCCAGTTCTATGTACACAAATACAAATGTGTATATTTTAATGTCATGACACCTAATGGTTTACTCCATCAGTCATCATTTTCTCTTATTGGAATGTCACTCACCTCAAAAATCTCCCATGGTTTTCATGCAGATCTTTTTTGCCAATCAAATCGGAGGTCTCTCCCAACATGGAGGACCAAGCGTTGTTCTTCATCAACAGCAACAGTACATCATCACTGCACAGCTTCTCTCCATCAATAAAAGAGACTGACCAAAAATTCAAGTAAAGGTTCGTAACATGAAACAACAAAGAAAGGGTTTTGGGGGGGAAAAAAAAACTCTGGCAATGCTTAAAAACCAGCTGAATAGAAAGTAATTCCACAAGGTCTGAGAGTTATAGTGACAAAAATAGGTATAATTAGGAAAGCAAAGTAGAACGATACTGGACACAATACACATATAACATCACAGGAGGAAAAGGCCAGCATGACCACAGGTGAGAGAAGATGGCCAAACTTGAAACGCATCCTCAGGTATCTGTGAATTTGAGTCCTCAGCCCAGAACAGACTTCTAGCTGAGTGACTGCAATGGAATTCTCTCCCAGGAGAGCTGCTCCTTTGAAAAGTTAGTTTCTGGTGCATCTTGACAAAGCAGCTCTCTGAGTCCTATCTTCACTCTTCTCAGATTTTCCCT